TGGCAAACGGGTTCTCACGAGACTGCACGAGCGCGAGCTCGCTGTGCGACAGAAGGATACTCTTCCCTTGGTAGCCGCCCACGCATCCTCGCCAGCGCACAGCATTGACTTCGCAATCGTGAGAATATTAGATCAGACGACAGAATTTCACGCCTGCTGCTGGAAGCATGACACTCATGCGAGGATTCCAATTAATAGGTATATCGAGGTTGCGAATGCCTTCCCGCCTTCTATGTTAACAATCGATGGAAAGAACGCATACTAGGAAAGTAGAAATTTTTTGCGAAGTGCGTTTTCTGCAGGCAAACAAAGTGACGTACATTGCAAACTCGGAAACTTGATGCGTTCAAAATACATTATGTTGAATGGTAATAAATAAGGGGTGTCCCAAATTCTTGTAACATACTCACAGTTTCTAAAGTAATCTACATAGTTCACAATTTTATTTACAGGAAATTTTCTTGTTAGCCCACTTGGCATCGAACAAATTGATTTCTGAAGGGTTTCTAAAGGGATCTTTCTCCAGACGTCCAGCAGGAATCTCCTGAATCCGCCAAAAGTAGTAGGAGCAGTCGGTTTCTCGTCAACCATATTACCACGAATTTACCATAGATTTTCAAGTGGATCTAAGTCACGACTATTTGCCGGCTGAAAATCTCCCACCGAGAAATTTTCTCTAACAGCAACCTCTGGGCTTCCATAGCTGTACTCGCTGTGCCTCCGTTCTGGATAAAAATAATCCTTGACATGTCTGGAGCAAGTGTGCTCTCAAATTTTGACCATACTCACACTATTTTTTCTATCTTTTAATAAGTTTTGCTTTAGGATCCCCTCTCCATAATATGTACCATTCACTCGTTGACCTTGCACTATTTGGAGGTCAGATCGCTCTCAAAAGTGCAGTGCTCCATACACCATGAATGCAGGGCTACAATTTGGAACTCCAATATTCTTAACAATGTTACAAATTGGAGCCCAAATAACGTCAGTTTTTGTAATTGGCGGATGGAGGAGGTTATGCGGCAACTCACCGAAGAAGACGACTTGTTTTTAGTCGTCCACAGTCCAACTCTTGACCAGCGTAAAGAAAGTCATCCTATCTTTGATGTGTTTTGCTGTTGGCCTAGGGATTTTCCTTCTGCCATAGACGGTAACACCCAAACTTTTATGGAAATACCGGTGCACTCTAAAGGTAGAAAACTTCAGGCCTTGAGCATTCACCTATTTGGCGAGTTTTTTGTACTTTGCCCTACTTTACCAGTAGCTTTTATAATACCAGTCTGCTAGCAACAGCAGAAGCAACCGCAATTCGATTGAGGAAACCGGTTTTGTTTGCACAAAAGAACCTCGTGCAAGCCCCCAATTTCGCATGGTCAACAATTACCTAATTGTCTGCACCGTTCCGCGCTCTGATTGACTCCCGCGTGTAAGGAAAGACAATTTATCGATTTTAAAATTTAAACCACCCTTGTACTGAGAGCGTTCGTTCGCCAAAATTGTGTTCTGAATTGCCTAATGGGAATTTTTGCAACTTTAATAACAGTCTCTTCAATTCTCCCAAAAATTGTTGGTCATTCAGAGTTCTTCTGCTCTGTGAGTGTATCTGTCCGCTTGTTCTCTGTTCACCAATACATGACTTTCCTGAAAGATACACATTCAGCTTTCGGAACCTCCACTCGCTTTATCCCGAAGCTCGACTTCTGTCCGCAGAGAATAGCGCCACCAGGATTCCAGGCACTGCTTTTTATAGTTTTAGAGTTTTGAATTATTTCTGCAGTGTCGTGCACGTGCTACAGTTGTACCACAACTTCGTCTTCGAGAAAGCGAGGGTGATTGTCAGGGCCGATGAGATGGCCAGACTAGTATTTAAAAGTTGGTACAATCAACCGAGCCATAGACTTGAACCCAGCGTATCAGGCGCTCAGGGCGAGGCTTGGACCGTTTTAGACAGAGATAATAGGGCAAGTGGGCACGCAGAACCAAGAGCCTACGCTCCCAGAGCATAGGAATGGCTGTCGGATATCACCTTTTCAACACCAAACACTGCCTCATCGAGGCACTCACAAAGCAGAGAACAACTCAGGCAAACACCATTGACTGATCAGTCCGCCGGTTAACGTAAGGGAAACGAATAGGCATATTGCTTTGCTTTCAGCTGGGTTGGCCACAAAAAGAACACAGGTCACGCAAGCCCGCCAGCGGCCAAACTCCAGTGTAGTCAGCGACGAACGGGCAGATAATAGTTCGCGCGTCCAGCACGGGTATAAAACGAGGCAGACGGTAAGACTGGCTAATTGAAGACCACCGGAAGCACCAAATAAAATATTGTGAAGATGGAAGTGAGAAGAGGGCAACAGTAGTCTATGTAGTGCTCCCCATTAATCCCCAGTCCCAGAATTTTGTCCTATGAAATAGGTGCTTATAGCGTTTTATGGGTGGTGAATTAAGGCAGGCAGAGGACTATATTTTAATAACTGCTATATGTGTTTTTATTTTATTTTATTTGGAAATTTTATTGATTTATATCTGTAGATTTTCCTGATCTGTAGTCTTGTTAAACGTATTTCGGAAAAACCCAAGTATTAAATTGCAGGTTTCTTGAAATTCCTGAAAAATCGAAGTGGTGGTTAGGAGGTCTTCTATTTCGACTTCCCTGAGGTCAAATTTACCGTTCTAATGTTAGATTAGTAAAGCCCACGTCGCAAAAGCGCCGCGCATACCTTCAATTATCATGCGGAAAATTTAGTCCTAGCGGCCGCGGGAAACAAATTCGAGTACATTTTTCCCTTTTCACTTCTAAAAATGTCCTTCCCTGTCTATCATATTTCCCCACCCCCAAAGAATGCCCTGTAATCACCGGTTCCGTAGGAAAAGATGCTGGGACTAAGTGTATTGTATGTGCACTACATAAACTACTTTTGCCAGGAAGAGCTCCAAACACGTCCCCTCTCTTTATTCTTCTTCTTTGGGAGATGATGAACGCGATAACATATCTGGACCCTAAATCTTTACGCACAGTAAACATTGCGCACAAAACTTATTTAAAAAATAAGTCGTCAACACATGAGGTTGAGCACTACATGTAAATTATTGTTAAATATTTAATTTTAGAGAAATAATTTAACTTTGAAAAGGCGCAGATCATCTTGGGACACCCTATATCACAACACCACTTAAATGCTCCATCCTAAGTGTAGATGCATGAGCTTGGTCACTGAGCGTAATTTCGTCAACTAATTCGGTCGCACACACATAAATTACTCTTTCGTAATGTCCCTAAACACAAGAAAGTTGCATCAAAGTCGCGATTTCAACACCTCGGCGAAAAAACCCACAAGGTTGGTCACACCCATAGTTTTCAAAAACACATTTCCGTATTCTAATAATTATCACCGAAAAAGAGAGCAAGGTAGAAATCACTCAAGTGGAAATTACTGAGTTCTTGGACAAGGTTATACGAAGATATTGCTATAATTACACGATGAAAAATGAGATAAAAAGTTTCGTGCGCGAAGTGCTTGAAAATTTTTGTGGCTATGTTTGATTTTTCTGTCCCCAGTGGTTCAACCTATTAAAGAAAATTAGAAGAAAACTGCCCATGTATGCGTTATCACAGATCAACGGAGCCAAGATGCCAAAAGCTATTAATATATACTGCATCTTTTATTCAGCGTTTGTCATGTCTGCTTTTGGACACAGGTTTATGACGGGGCATGTCTAACTTTATTTTGCTTTCATTATCCTCATTTTCGTCGTCGTCTTTGACTTTATATAGCCATTATCAGTCAATCTCAATGAGCTACTGCTGGTTTAAGTGGTTTTGTTATAGTTTCCTCATCCGAATACTCCCACCCAGATGACGGGTAAAAACACTTCCTGGTCGAGGTTGTAATCTGGTACATGGAGGTTTATCTGTCGATTCTACTCAAACATATGAAAACCGCAAAATAATTTGTACTTTCGTCCTTTTTATCGCGTTTATATATAATCTTCAAATTAAATCTAAAAACCCTGCCTTATAAAGATAACTTTGCTGGCTTTTTAGAACCCACATAACCGGAGGGCGCCGAAGTCTTCGAGCAGACAACCGAGAGCCCTGTAGTAAAAAATGAAGTGTTTTACATGGACAAGTATATTTGATACTTTGTCCGACAGTGCTTTGTAAAGAATCATTCGATAAAAACCACATTGTGCACGTTTACCAAAATGCAGAATCCAATTTGCAAAGAAAATTGATCATGAAAGGATCACAAAAGGCGATTAGCGGATATTATTCCAAGATAAAGTTTGATGTTCAGGCCATTCGTTTTGTGAGAGACACAATTATGTTTAGAGCGATCGTCTCAAAGAAATTCCCTTCCGTAGCCCAATTTCTTCATAATATTTTTAGAATGGGTGTAGAAGTAGTCCGCATCGTCTTCCCACGTGCTCCTATCTGCCTCCAATCCCTTCTCCATTTTATCTACCATTTCTAGGACAACACGTTCTAGCTGAAAATGCAGTGAGTTTAGGTGCTTCTCAAGCTTATCAATAGTGGCATTTTTTTCCGCCAATTCTTGGTCTTTTGAAGCAATCTGGAATTCGAGTAGGGCTTTAACCTCCGAATGCTCCTTTTTCAAACGTGTGATAATTTCTCGAGACTCCCTGACTCGCAGAATGAAGAGGCGTTGTAGAAGCTTGTACTGAGTGTTTACGCAGGAGGTTGCTAGCTTCGACTCCACTTTATTCATTTCCAGATTTTCCCGCATTTCGGCTACTCGCCTAGAGGCTTGAATATTTTCATCAGTCATCTTTTTCCGCACGCTAGTATTCACAAGTTCGCGCAATGACACGGTGTCCAATTTGGCCTGCATCATGCCAAGCGTGTGTGTCAGTTCACGGACTAGTTCTTCTGGCCTTTTCTCGGGCTTTTCTTTTTGTTTCTTCGGCGGCATCTTTGCGAACTGGTCAGAAAGTAACCTCTGTGTGAGTCAGACTACAACTGAACGGGTAGCTGACGGAAACTTCAAATACCTAAAAAATCGATAAGTCGAAAGCTGCTGCTTGCACAATTGCAACTAGCGCACCATTTCGGTGACATCAAAATTTCTTCACTCAACACAAGCCGAGACGCATGCATCTTTTTGCATGGTACATTCTTCCACAATATTTAAACATTGCAATACTCAAGAAGGCCATGAGTATATAAAGATCAAAGTTTAGGTTGTGACGAAAAGTAATTATTTGTATTAAACAGACCACTTGCTGTCCGATCATAGGCATAACGCGTTCTTTGTTTCCCTAGCAGCAAGGTGGACAAAATCCGGTATAAATCTGGCATATGTATCCAAATTTTTCCAGTAGGATTCGATGATGGCATCCGCTTGGATTTGCTACTAGGGCGGACGTCGATCAAGTAGACGCCAAACGGCTGGACATGCCTAAGATTACGGTTATCCGTCCTTCGTCTGCTGGGACAATCGTAATTTAATCATCGGTCTTGAATTCACCAATGGACCTTACCATAGTCAGAAGAAAGTAAAAGCACAGATAAATTTTGATTGTCACAATAGATCGGCTGACTCAACAAAACAGACGAAACATTGACTTGTGAGAGGGTGAGTCATGTTAGGCTCGTGAGCAAAGGAGAAGGGAGAAAAACGAGAGCGTCCTGTGCTAGAGGTGTCCGGTAGCAAATCCAAGCAGATTCCATCATGGAATCCTACTGGAAAAATCCAGATACATGTGCCGGATTTATACCGGATTTTGTCCACTTGATCTGCGTGCGCTACCAGGGTAGTTAAACAAGGCGACGAAAATTCGAACTACAGTGTATGGGCCGC